GGCGCATGCCTGTAGTCCCAGCTACTTAGGAGGCTGAGACAGGAGAATTGCTTGAACCCGGGAGGTGGAGGTTGCAGTAAGCCGAGACCACGCTATTGCATTCCAGCCTGGGCAACAAGAGCGAAACGCCGTCTCAAAAAACAAAACAAAACAAAACAAAACAAAAACAACTCAGTAAAACAGAGCCTCTAGCCTCTGCCAAATTATCTGGCCTTCTGACTTCCCTTCTTCCTTCCAAGGTTCATCTCCAGCCTTAGTAAACAAGTCACCAGTTGCTGGATGTGACCTGTTCCTCTTTGCTTTCAGGTTTTGCATGCGTTATTCCCACCGCTTGAAATACTCTTCCACATTTTTTGGTCTGGTCAAGGCTGATTTGGCCCTCAGGACTCAGTTCCAATAGCACTGTCTCTGCAGAGCCCTCCTTGGTACTTATTTAAGTGCCTGTGTCTGTCTCAACTAGGCTGAGATTGGAACTGTATTTCTTGAACGGGTATTTTGGTAAATGACTATAGAAGGAGGAACATCCATGAGCCTGGGGTCCATCTATGTGCTCCCTCCGTCCCCAAGTGATGAATGGTGTCTTAAACAGTGGTCACCACATATGGTCTCTGAGGGCCCAGCCACCAACTGCCTGAATCCCCCAACTTCTTCCTCTTGTCCCAGAGTCAAAAGTACCACAATACAGCTTTTGGAAGAAGCTTTTCAAAGCAAGCCAGTTTTTATGAGTGCAAATAAATGATTAGTGCATGAAATGAAAGTATGGATGTTGTTTGGTTTAAATGTGACAGAGGTCCCCATCATTCCATGTTCATTCCCCACCCCCTGGTGCTCTTCTGTGGTTTTCAGGTTTTCTGCATTGAGCAAATGTTACAAGAAAAACACAAGGGCCAGGTGCTGTGTAGTCCCAGCTACAAGGGAGGCTGAGGCAGGAGGATCACTGGACCCCAGGAGTTGGAGACCAGCCTGGGCAACACATTGAGACGCTGTCCCGAAAACAATTTTCTTTTTTTTGAGACAGGGCCTCTCTCTGTTGCCCAGGTTGGAGTGTGGTGGCATGATCACTGCTCACTGCAGCCTCAACCTCCCACACTCAAGCAATACTCCCAGCTCAGCCTCCCAAGTAGCTGGGACTACAGGCATGCACCATCACGGGTCTCACTATGTTGCTGAGGCTGGGGGGAAAAAAAAGGCCCAGCACGGTGGCTCATGCCTGTAATCCCAGCACTTTGGGAGGCCAAGAGGGGGCAGATCACTTGAGTCCAAGAGTTTGAGACCAGTCTGGGCAACATAACAAGATCCTGTCTCTAGAAATTAAAAAAAAAGAAAACACAAAATACTTAGCCAGGTGTGGTGGTGCAGACGGTGGTCCCAGCTACTCAGGAGGCTGAGGTGGGAGGATCGCATGAGCCCAGGAAGCAGAGGTCGCAGACAGCTGAGGTCACAGCAAGCTGAGATTGTGCCACTGCACTCCAGCCTGGGCGACAGAGTGAGACCCCATCTCAAAATAAATAAATAAATAAAAATAACAGAAACACAAATCCCCTCACAGACCCAGAACCTATAGTACCTATCACAGGAGGGAACTGGGGAGGGGCTCCCAGCAGTCTTCTCCTTAGTCAGCAGTCTTTTTGCTGAGGGATCCTGGGGTCTCCAGTCCCATTACCAGTTGGAGTTACACAGTGGAGACAGGGATGCAAAGTCCTGGGGTTGGCCACCTGCTGCAGCTGCCCAACCTTCCCTCCTCCAGGAGAATTGTTATCTGTGGGATTCCATTTCATCAACACAAAGACAGTTTTTTTTACCTTGCTATGCAGAATGCAACACCCCGTTTCTGGATGAAATTTGTGCTTTAGTTTTACAGAGCCAAAAGGCCTGACAGAAGAAAAAGAACTCCTCCCTAGAGAGGGAGGCTGGGAACCTCACTCTGAGAGGCAATGCTGAACTTTCTACCCCTTTACAGCAGACGGACCACAGACAGCTCAGCCTTTTCTGATATATTTACAACTACAAAAGATACGGTTAAAAAAGAAAAATACTTGGGTGCGGTGGCTCACGCCTGTAATCCCAGCACTTGGGGAGGCAGAGGCGGGTGGATCGCCTGAGGTCAGGAGTTCAAGACCAGCCTGGCTGACATGGTGAAACCCCTTCTCTACTAAAAATACAAAAATTAGGACAGGCGTGGTAGCTCACGCCTATAATCCCAGCACTTTTGGAGGCCGAGGCAGG